ACTTCTGTAGGTGAAGCTGGATCACGAATGATTCGAGCAAACATAGACGCATTAATGTAGATCGGGGGCGCATTCTCTTCAAAAACAAACGTAATCCACTGCGTCTTCAACAGCTCAGATGTCAGGAGTAAATGACGACTGCTATGTTCATTATTACATCCAATAACAGAACACCTCAATCGCTTAGGGGCCATTCTTGTCTGCATCTACTCTGGCGTCGAAACAATGGCGGACTAATGACAGCTCACTCAGGGTGGGTCTAAGGTAAGACACCAGTCCAGTCTGTGCTGAAACGCTACGGTCAATCAAACTATTGTGGGAGGGGCCTGTCTGTGTGACATCACACAGACAGGCATCTGAGATCAGCTCGATTTGAGAAAGGGGAAATGATTTAGTGAGATTAAAGGGATAGTTCACCCAAAAATGAAAATTCTGTCATTAATTACTCACCCTCATGTCATTTCAAACCCGTAAGACCTTCGTTCATCTTCGGAACACAAATTAAGATATTTTTGATGGAATCTGAGAGCTGTCTGACCCTGCATAGACAGCAACGCAACTGAAATGTTCCTAAGTCCAGAAACGTAGCAAGGAGATCTGTAAAATAATCCAAGTGTCATCAGTGGTTCATCCGCAATTATACAAAGCTACGAGAATACTTTTTGTGCGCAAAAGAAAAAAAAAACGACTTTATTCAACAGTTCATCTCCTCCGCATCACCCTGGTGCCATTTTGGAGAATATCCGCTGGACGTAAACGTTCATATGCTGTTCTGTGTCAGCTGCGTCACGCCGGATCGGTTTCCTACGTTGTTGTGATTTGATCTGAACGGAAACAGCGTATCTGTGTGACACAGCTGATACAGAACAGCATACGAACGTTTACATCCAGCTAAATTGAAAATTGAGGCCCCGTCCACACGGAGACACGTTTAGCTGTATACGCATACATTTTGTATTGTATAGGCTTTTCGTCCACACGGATCCGGCGTTTTGGGAGAGTGAAACCGATATTTTTTTAAACCGGGTCCCAGAGTGGATAAACGCCCCTGCGTTTTCGTGTGGACAACGAATCCGTATATTTTCTGAAACGATGATGTCATCAGCCCACGTCTTGCCCCTAGTCAGACACCGCTACGTCACGTAACAGCAACAAAAACACGAACAAACACTGAACGATTGTCTTTTTATTAACTAACATTAACACAGATTAATACATGTATTGTTCCATGTTCGTTTGTATACCTCATCTGTTTTGAGGGGTGCTCACCCTGTGGTCTGTGTGGGTTCTAACGCCCCAGTGTAGTGACGGGGACACTATACTGACAAAAGAAGCACCGTCTTTCGGATGAGACGTTAAACCGAGGTCCTGACTCACTGTGGTCATTAAAAATCCCATGGCACTTCTCGAAAAGAGTAGGGGTGTAACCCCAGTGTCCTGGCCAAATTGCCCCCCTGGCCTTTGTCAATCATGGCCTCCTAATAATCCCCATCCACCTGATTGGCTCTCTCCTCTCCACCTGTAGCTGGTGTGTGGTGAGCGCACTGGTGCCATTGTCCTGTGGCTGCCGTCGCATCATCCAAGTGGATGCTGCACACTGGTGGTGGTTGAGGAGAGACCCCCCCACATGATTGTAAAGCGCTTTGGGTGTACAACAATACACAATAAAAGCGCTATATAAATGCATCATCCATTTATTCATTCAATGCAGCTAATCTCGCATTAATGTCATCTTCCCACTCATTAAACTATGACAGGTCCTTTACTGCAAAAAGACAGTCACTGTGACACTCTAAAGTGATGAAACTATGGCGCCATGTGCTTTTTTTAAACCATTTTCATAGGTTTCACGTTATATTGTTGGCTTGGAAAATATGTAAATGCACGCCTCAACCGCAAATCAGACAGGAGAGTAGATTAACTTCGGTGGACTTGCACTTGAAAAATGATGTGTTCCGCGGTTGAAATAAAACACTTTCTGATGTTTATTCATGTTCATTTCGTGCTTTACCTAAATATGAAAAGACGATTGGTTCATGTATCTGAACTGAGGCAATACAGTGATCGGTCACGACACATTAAAGAGCCACAAAACGGAATTTACTGTTTGAATTTCTTTAAAAATTACTAAATTTGAAAGCTGCGAGTCCTGAGACCTTGTTTCATACCAGAAGTAACCTGCTCTGTCTTGTCTGTCGATGTGTTGTCTTTTCTCTTTGGTCTGCAGTATTTTTCACACTGCGTGAGAACATGTGTAGTGTGAGAGCGGCAATGTTTGTCGAGGATAGCAACAGTAACTAAGGACGGTGGGTCTTTGCGAATGGTCAATTGCTGAACATGTCAATGCAATGAAAAAAAAAATATTTCAACATAAAAGGGAAAGCAACAACAATAAATACATTTTATTAGCCAGACATGTTGGTTGTTATCATCAAAAAGCAGTCGTCATAAGAGCCTACTGAAGGTCCCTATTGCTAAAACATGATCTTTACTTTAATTTGTCATTTAGCGGACGCTTTTATCGAAAGCGACTTACAAATAAGAAAAAGTAATTAAAAACTTGATCTGTCATAAAACCGGAGTCAAATCTGGAATGGTGAGTAATTTTGTGTCAATTTAAAAAGCAAGAATATGCACTTTCTGAAAAAGACATTTTGCAATTGTGGACAATTTGTGAGCACTAGGGCATACTATGAAAATAGACTTAATACTCTTTTACTTTTCATTGCTATTATTATTATTATTATTATTATTATTAGGCCTAAGCATTTGTTGTTGTTTTAGGTAATTTAGCATTTGCAGAACTGAGGCAATGAGGACATATTTTCCAAACAAGGCATCTATATAACTGGTATGATCAATTATCTCCAAAAAAAGCATGGTGAAATGCATAGCGAATAAATAAAAATATTTTGTATAACTTCTAGTTCTTCAAAACTACACCCTAACCACTGCACAAGAATTGCCTTTGACAGCAGCGTGGAACCCACCTTGTAAATGGTTGGTTCTTTGATTTCCAGAGGAACCCTGTTCCATTTCTCTCTTCTGCTCCAGCTGCCATGACGGCCACATGAAGATCTGTCTCTTGCTGACAACCACACCACCAGAATTGCTAGCATGAATCCGGCCACCACTCCAATCAACACCCAACACACATATGTAGGAAGTGGCAAAACAAAGCAACCGTAAACTATAGATATAAGAAGAATCAGTGCATTGTGGGGTACTCCTGGAGGCTCATCTTCTTCCTCCTCCTCTTCCCCTCCTTCAGTTGGTTCCTCGCTGCATCCCCCTGTGCTCCCTCGTCGGACCTGGGATGAACGAGGCTCTTCTCCATCTAACTCTGTGTCAGTACAGAGCTCAAAGTCTTCGGTGTAGAGCTCGCAAAACTCTTCGTCTTCTTGACGAGCAAGCGTCGACATAAAACACCTGTCCAAGCCCAGAGAAGGTGACTTGTGCAAAGGCAGCTCAACAGTTGGCCCCTCAAGAGGACTTTCGCCCTCCAGGTCTTCCTCTTCCTTGATGCAGTAGTTATTGTTGCTTTCTGAGTGGCCATTGAGGGCAGACAGGTTGGAGAGTTCAGTGGCGCTAGAGGAAAGGTTTCTGGACCGGTAAGAGACTCCTGCAGTTGTGGACGTGGAAGTGTTCGCACTGACGCCACCAGGTTCCTCGCCGATGATTTTGCTGAGCAGCTGTAGGGGCTCATACATGACCTCTGACAGACGGCGCTTTGTGTCTTCAATACGTGCCTCCATCTCCTGAACTTTGAAGAAGGAGCGGCTATCGGGTGAGGTGAGGGGGGATGAGGGAGCAGTTTTGGAGTCTCCACTCGCGGCAGGAGCGCGAGACTGGGTGAAAGGTTTGAAGAGGTGCAGATTGAGCCGGGAATCTAGGGACCGATGAGTCGATGAAGCCTCTAGCTCGGATCGAGCCGTGTCTGTAGACAGAGACTTAACCAGTGTCTTCATCAAATGCCGGTGCCTTATCGGCTGGCGAGCGACCTCACGAGATTCCACCTCAGTGGAAAGGGGCTTGACTAGGCTGAGGAAGGGCTTTGAGGGAAGGCCAGAGACCTTGGCTGGGGATGAGCTGGAGGAAGCTGAATGGGTGGAAGGTACCAGGGCAGTCGACCTCTGTTCAGAGGGCCATGAGAAGCTAGCTAGACTAGAAGTGAACGTGCAACCCAAGCTGATGGAGGGGTGCTGTACAGCCAGGGCAGAACTGTGGGTCTGGGTTGACAGTCCTGTGACCATGTCCGCTTCCAGTCCTTCAGAGAGAAGCTCCTCGCTGGCCTCCTGAGCTGTAACTATGGTCTGATCTTCAGGTTCAAGGCCAGAAGGGGAAAGAGCTAGCCTGTAGAGCTCCTCTTCCTCCTCCTCTTCCTCATTTCCCTTGGCAGAAAAGTGTATGGTGATGGTATCCCGGGAAAGCGAGCGCTGCACCTGCAGCTTACGGGCTGCTGAGGACCGAGAGGAGGAGGAGGAAGAGAATGAAGAAGAGGGGCTTGGTGTGTCTGCATGGTCACCACCCTGACTGGTCATGGCACCACTCAAAAGAGTTCAGAGCCTGTGGGTGCAGAGAAGAGAAAGGTTACATATAATACACACACGTCATATCAGTTCATCATCCACAAACTGAAAAAAAAAAAAAAAAAGATTTTTGGTTTAGGTCAGTGTTTCCCATTAGTTTCCTAGACTGTGGTGGCCTGCCTGAGTTTCACAATGAACCGAAAACAATTCTCATAATAACATAAAAGATCTCTAACATTGTGTTTGCTGCCATTGCTTTGGCAAGCATCTGTCAATGGAATTAAAACTGTGATATGGCTTAGTGCAATTATCAAAACAAAAGGCTGCTATTTAATTTTAGAAGTATACAGTTTGTTGCGCTGAAACACGTTTCTGAGTGAAGCTAAGCAACGTTTTTATTTACACACGTGCAGCTCATGATGCAGTGTTCTTAGTGCCTCAGTTAATACTGGAAACATTCATCTCTACATGTACTGGGAGTTCAGCCTGCATCTGGAAATGCAACGTGTACCATTCACTTTACTTTCATATTTGCATAGTTTCTAACATTTTTGTGAACAGAGGTTTTCAGCATTTCACAATGAGAAAAGACTGTTGCCACAGAAACTTACAGGTTTACACAAATGAACGCTCTGGTTAAAAAGGGTGACTTTTTTTTTTTTTACATTGTCAAGGGTCTACAAATGAAAACGTCTTTTTGGCTTATTCTAGCACATTTACAGCAATGTTAATAAACAAATAAATTGAACACATTTCAGTCTTGATTTTCTTCCTGAAAATAACAGTGTGAATGTAATGTGGACTAAGACACTATCAGTTAAAGAGAGGTTCGAGTCCACTTTAAAGTCCAGGTACAAGTAAATGCAAAGATTTGTTTTTAAAACCCTGTTCAAAATGGTTACTGAAAAGGAGATGGAGCTCTCGATTTCTTAAAGTAAACCAGATTGATGAATTTAAAGTATACAAAATTTCCCCCTTGAAGGGTCTGAGGGCCAACAAAATACTGTGGGAAACACTGCTGCTGGTAACAAACATAAAGGGATAGTTTACCCAAAAATGACAATTCTTGTTTTGCTTCAAAATACATAAATTCATTGACTGGCATTATATGGTTTACATAAAGTGTGTGCTTTTCAGAGCATCAGTATTTGGGAACCCATTCATTCGAAATAAAAAAAATTATTTTCTAAAAATCTTTGTGCTCCTCTGAAGAAAGGAAGTTCAGAGGAAGTCATATACATCTGGGATGTAAGTAAATGATGACAGAATATATTTTTAGGTGGACTACCCATTTAAAAGACCACTTAAAACTATTACTGGTAACCAATACAAGGAAATGTTTCACACATTTGTGCTGGTTTCAGCTGGTCACCCATCATTCCTACACAAGTCAAGCTAGTTTACCTGCAACAATACCAGGGTAACCAGTTTGTGCACAATCCACTTTGTGGTGAGTCAAAGTTGAGAATTCAAGTGCTTTATTTTATTTTTTAAAGATATACAAAAACAAAAAACAATACACCAAAGTCTAGACACAAACTAAACTTGACTTTAACTTGACAAATCCAAAAACAAGACACTCACCAAAGAAGAAGGTTACATGAAAGCCAAATCTAGACCCCAGACAAAAGGAAACATGTAGGCTATTCACACACAATAGAACTAATGACACAAACAAGGAACACCTGAGCACAATCAAGAAAGGAAAGGGAAACTTGACGGACAGGAAACCATGAACAAGACTGGACTGTGAACATGAATAAGCTTCAAACTAAAAGACATGACATAATAAAAGACATGAATCAAAACAAGAACAAAACTTAACCAAACCAAACGTGACAGCATACATCTGAAACCACTTGAAGTGGTCATGAATTGAGAAATAAAATTTTCCTTGCTCTTTTCACACATAAGAGTCATTGTGCAATAATAGAATAGAAAGAACTCCAAACTTCCTTGTTAGACCAAAAACAGTTCTTAGTTGGGAAATATGGACACTACCATAATGCCACCACAACATGTAAGTAACCAAAATTACTAGTAATTCTAAAGCCTGAACAAAATAAATGATTGTTGTGAGTAAGGATTGTTTATTTCTGTTTATTAAGGCATTCAAACCATCAACTAAACAGTCATATGTACATTGTTCCTTTTAGTAGCACAAATGAACAACTTATATTCAATTTATGTTTAAAATATATACAGAAAATATTACTTTTTTGAGTGGAATGGTAAATAATTGGTTTATTATGTTAAAATTTTAGGTCTAATGTTTATAATTGGCAGGTCAACAGTTTTATAGCATTGCTCATCTATAGTCAGTGCAATGCACTGTCGCTGCCACCATTCTTTCATGAATCCAAAACACATTTTCTTTTTATTTTGTGTTACAGATAGGCCCAAGAATATTACTATTCCACCAGAAGTATAGTGCTTTGGCGAAACAATGTGAGATATTGTCAAACTTCAATCCAATTCTTGTTTTTATGTCAAACATGTTTTGGAAAGATTTAAAGTTTGCTTTGGAAGGATGTGGAAACATGATGATAATGAAAAATAAATTATAAAAAATGTGTGTATTTCATGTATTTTTGTTATTTTAAAGATAAAGGAATTTAACAAAATAAAGATACTATACAGATAAATAATAAAGATATCAGGAATAAAGATAAAACTTATTACATAAAGATAATAAAGTATTTAAGTATTTTAGTACAGTTAATAAAACTGTTTATATTTATGTTTGAATGCCTAACCATATAAATACATTTAAGGGGGAAAACACTCTAAACATGTTGATAGTTAGATCTGGAATTTTTGCAAGTTTATTTATTAATTAATTTTTTACATTCTTATGTGACTGTATAAAAAATGCATTTATAAAATGGATAGTTTTGGTTCTTAAAGTTGATTTTATAATAAAGCACAGCTATGACTGCTTCACCAAACAGAGCTTCTGTGTTCAACTGAAGAAAGAAACTGAGGCTACGTTTACACTAGTGCGTTTTTGTTTTAAAACGCATTACTTTTGCTACAGTAACGCCTGTCGTTTACATTACTCTGACGTTTTTGACCCTCGAAAACGGAGACTTTCAAAAACGCTGCAGACCACGTTTTAGTTTGAAAACTCCGGGGTTGCATTTCAGTATAAACAGACCAAAACGGAGACTTTTGAAAATGATGGCGTGGCTGCCCAAATTCGCTCTGTGTATCCTTGACTGTATAAACAATAACATCATTCTCATTGCTGTACCTGCGTGAATGGTCATGTGACATGCATTTTCAGTTGTGTAGTGGACGGAGATTTTTTCTGAAACAAAGTGAAAACAGGGCCTCATAAAGGTTTGGAACAACTTGAGGGTGAGTAAATAAGGATGAATTTTCATTTTTGGGTGAATTGTCCCTTTAATAAAGTGCCCTGCTGACATTATGTCTACATCATTCTTTAATTTTGAGGTCACGCCCTCCCCCTTGACATAAAAAAGTGTGTGTGTGGAAGCCCGAAGTGCAGAGAGAATATTATTTTAAAGGGGTCTTATGATGTTGCAAAAAAGAACATTATTTTGTGTATTTGGTGTAATGAAATGTTTTTATGCGGTTTAAGGTTAAAAAAACACATTATTTTCCACATATTGTACATTATTGTTTCTCCTCTATGCCCCGCCTTTCTGAAACGCGTCGATTTTTATAAAGCTCATCGGTCTGAAAAGCGAGGTGTGCTCTGATTGGCCAGCTATCCAGTGCATTGTGATTGGCCGAATACCTCAAGTGTGTGACGGAAGTGTTACGCCCCTTACCATACTGTGTTTCCGTGTGTCCTGGCGCTACGAGACAAAAACATTAAAACCCATTATAAACGAGGCATTTGTTGCATCCAGTGGGGACATAATTACGGATTATAATGACTCGTACTGTCTTTTTACGCGTTGCATCGCGCCGCATAAACATAACACCATGTCTGCATTTGTGATCGGAGAAACGACCAACAAGCGCTACTCTACACTGCTCAAAACT